TAAAAACCTCCTCCCCTTAGAAAGTCTCTTTAGAAATAACAATCAACTATTGTTTTACAAATGTTCTAACGGCAGGACATTCTGCTTCTGTACCTTTTGCTTGCTTTACTAGTTCTATCCCATAGGGGGGGGCCTAGAAACTGCTGGCCTCAAAGGTGTATAAAACATGTTTGTCAACCCCCAGTCAGGGCTCCAGTCCGATGGATGCTCGGCTCGGGTCCTGGCCGGTAATAAACTCCTGTGTGGATTTATTATCGGTCTATGGTTGGTTCTTTCACTGGGTGTAACAGTTTCCAACTCCTGGGTTCAAATGATACAAACCCCCTCTTCCCCCTGGGCAGCTAGATGATGAGATCTGCAATTTGATATACTTGCCTTAGTCTGGAGAGGTACAAGGGCTGGCCCCAGCTGAACAATAACATTAGCAGCCACAGTGCTAAATGGGAGAAGCACTGGGGATTGTGGAAATTGAGAGAAAGGGTTTTTATTTGCGCGGGGGTGGGGTGGGTGAGGTGGTTTTTTTGTTTTTGGTTTTTTTTTTTTTTTTGGTTTTTTGAGACAGGGTCTCACAGTGTAGTTCAGGCTGGCCTTGGAACTCACTATGTAGGGCAGGCTGGCTTTGAACTAGAAGCAATCTTCCTGCCTCAGCCTCTTGAGTGCTGGGATTACAGGCGTGGGGCACCACACGTGATTTAGAAACAGTTTAAGAAAGGCTCGTAGGGTCCCTAGATTTAGCTCAGTGGTGCCGGTGCCTGCCTCGAAAGCAGAAGGTCCCGAGTTTGATCCCCTGTACCAAAAGAAAAAAAAAAAAGAAAGCCTTGTGCATCAAAAAATAAGTAGCTTGCCAAAAGAGGCCAAGAAATGGGAGACAGAAGTATCTAATGAGGCTTTGAAAGAATGTGAATTTAAGTAGGGGAGTAGATGTGAGACGTCTGGTTTTTCAATCTCCCTGATAAAATTTTTTTTTGTTGGTGCCAGAGATCGAACTTGGGTTGGAACCACTGAGCTAAATCCCCAGCCCCCTTTTCTGAGACAGGGTCTCCCTATGCCTTTCAGGCTGGCCTTGAACTCACTATGTAGCCCAGTCTGGCCTTGAACTCTTGGCAATCCTCCTGCTGCAGCCTCCTAAGTGTTGGGATTACAGGAGTGTGCCACCATGCCCAGCTTTAAAATTTCAAGATGAAAAATAAACTTTTTTTCTTTTTGGTGCTGGGAGTCGAATCCAAGGCCTCCTGCAGTGTATCAGTGCATGCTAGCCAAGTGATCTTCCACTGGTCTACCTCCAAAGTCCTATTTATTTATCTATTTTAGGGTTAACAAGACAGGGTCTCATTCTGTAGCCCAGGCTAGCCTCAAACACCCAATCTTCCTTCCTTCCTGTTGAGTAGCTGGGATTACTGGCTACCATGTCCAACAAACAAAAAAGAAAAAGATTTCTGAAAGCATTTATGAACTGACAAATTAATAAAATATCATCAAAGTGATAATAACCAAGAAAATAATGGAGTATACATGCCTGGGAATCAATATTTTTTTTGTGGTGCTGGACAATCAAACCCAGTGCCCCGCACATGCTAGGCAAGGACTCTACTACAGAGCTACACTTCAGCCTTGGTAACCACATTTGACCTAAAAGTAAACCATATATATGTCTTCATTTTCTTTCGTACTGGAAATTTAACCGAGAGTGCTGAGATATATATCCTCTTTTTTTTGAGACAGGATCTAAGCTAACCCATGTTGGCCTTGAACATCCAATCCTTCTGAGTAACTGGGATTACAGTGTGTGCCTGTATGCCTGGAAAGGCAAACCATATTTTTTTCTAGCAAATCAAGAGTTTAGATTGAGACAAAAATCAAACCCAAAACCTACATATAATGGAGAGAATCATGTGATCATATTGTAGATAGGTAAGTTAATTAGATATCTTGTAGGTAGTAAGACAGGGCCAGTGCACAAGGAGCCAACAGGGAGGACAATCAAGACACTTTCACTGAAAGCCCCCATTGTAAAAGAAACTACCACACCCGCATAGAATAGTAGTGATTGATATTCTAAATAGGTATCAGTCCCCTGAGTGGGGGACGAAAATCTTCCAAGAAAGATCCCTGACCCACCCTTTACCACAAGTAAATTGGGGCAGGGCCAGGGATTTAGCTCAGTGGCACTGCACCGGCCTTCTAAGTGCCAGGTCCTGAGTTCAATCACCTGTACGGGGGGGGGGGGGACAAACAAAACCCCCCCCAAGCTAATCCTTATTACTTGCCAAGCCCCAGATATACAAGATCGCTCCTAACAGCAACTATACAATGTAGATTCTACGTATCACAATGAAGGAATTGAGACAAATGAAATAAATTCTTATCCAGGGAGACAGTTTACGAACATAGAGGAGGGGTTTTGAATATGATTGTTCTGGCTCCAGTTTGTGCCCTTAGCCACTTTACACACTCTAAAGGGCGAGGGGAAGCCACTGAGGCTTTAAAAATGGGGGAGACATCACATTGCTTTGGGAAGGTTATTCTGGCACCATTGTGAATAATAGGCTAAATGGGATAAACAGTGGAGATAAGGAGACTGTTAGAATAATGTGGCCAAAAATGGGGAGGCCTTGAATAAACCAAGTTGGTGGCAGAGGGCAAATAAAAGCAATGGATTGCGATGTCTTCCTGAGTGCAGCCCACAGACCTCGGTTTTTCATCGGATCTCAATACGGGTGGAGAGCGAGGATGGTACCCAGGTTTCTGACTTCGGCAATTCAATGGATGTAGGAAGGCGTTCAGTGAGGTGGGGCACACGGGATACTTAGGAGGCTGAAGTAGCAGCTCGGCTGGGGAACTACAGTGTCCGTGAGCGTCTGACACCAAGCAGGCAGACCGGTCCGAACTGGAAGGTTCGCGCGCCAGAGCCTGGCCGGAAGCCGCGCGCGCAGGCGCAACGCGCGGGGCGCCCCCTGGTGGGCGCGGCGGCAACACACACAAAGGACCCGCCCCCAGCCTCGCGCCGCCGCCGCCGCTCCAGCCCAACATGGCGATGCACAACAAGGCGGCCCCGCCGCAGATCCCCGACACCCGGCGGGAGCTGGCGGAGCTCGTGAAGCGGAAGCAGGAGCTGGCGGTGAGGGGCTGGGGCGGCGCGTCCGCCGCACTGGCCGTCCGCTCCTCCGGGGAAGAGCTCGGCGGCGGGGCCCGGGTGCGCTGGGCGGCTCGGCTTCCCGGCCTGCGGCTCGGTGGCGGGAGCGGGAACGGGCGCCGGCGCGGTGGGGGTGGGGA